AGCCAGCTCTGCTCCCAGGCTGGCTCCCAGCCCCACCACTCGAGGCCTGGTTGTTCCAGCAAACTGCCCGAGGCCAAGAAGAATTGCACCACAAACAGTAACAAACTCTCAGCCTCAGTGTCCAGACCTGCACATGGAGCTTTAGTGCAAACAAGCAAGACCAGGCCTGCAGAACAATCCTACATACATGAGTTCTATAGACCTAAAAAACACATACCTCTGCACCTCAAAGAGCAGGAAGCATAGCTTCCTGCTGCCAAGTCTAGCCAGGCTTTGGGGCACACACTGCTTACCTTCTCAGCAAGGGTTATTTTTCCAGCTCTGAAGATGATTATAGCTCCATCCATTGAAACACGCATATTTCGTATCTTCTGAAAATCTTCTTTCCGTCCATAGTTCACATAGATGGGTTTGCCCTGCAATAGAAACACTGGTTATGAATGCAGCAGTCCAAAGTCAGCAAGATACCTGCAAGAGCCTACAGAGTCACTGTAACAGTGACTCCTGTTAACAGTGGGGAGCTGAAGCTCAGCAATGTAAACTGATCCACTGCAAGACGCCCATTGGAGCGCCACTTCTGCCAAGGGTCCCGTCTGGATTCCAGCAGGGAAGTTTAAAGTTACTCCTGCATCTTGCTGCAGTAAGAATGCTATCTGGGCCCATTCCTCTCTCCCCTCTCTGACCACCCCACCCAGCTCTCTCAGCAGGGGAGGGCTCTATACACTCCCTGTCTTAAAGGGACTTATTTTTTATAAGTGTACAGACACATTTCCAGGATTCTTCTGGAGTCACTTACAGCAACTGTGCCGCTCTTGCTGTATGCCACATATGCATCAGGACTCTCCAACACTTCTTCACCATCTTCTACAATGACCACTTGGTTCTTGCTACTGTTAAATGTAGAGAGACAGCATTATACTCTTTCACACAAGAACTTAATTAGCTCAGTATTCTGAGTCAGTATTGTGACTGTATTCAGTCTGTGCTCTTAACAATTCTGATCATGTCAATAGAGCCTGAAACAAGCAAACTCATCCCAGTACTTCCATGCAAAAATCTCTGGAGCTGGTCAGAGACATTAATGAAGGCTGATTTCTAAGACTAGTAGCAGAAAGAGTATCTGCTTCCAAGTCTCTCAGTCACCTTCTAAGAGAAGCTGAGCAAACTCATTTCCCCTGACAAAAAGGGCAAGTAAGACATGAGGGAGTGAGCTGTCAGACCACACAATGCCTACTGACACCCTCCTGAGCTACTGGAGGAGCCACTGCCAGGTGTGCAGCCCTGTCTGGGATACAAGACAGAGTCACCTGTGCCAGCAGTTTTAGACACAGGGAATCTGCCTGTCAGCTAAGTTTTCACTCAAGTTTGTTTTCTCTTCACTTTCTAAGCATACTTGGAGGAAACAGCTGCCCCGGAAAGATCCAGAGTGTTGCTTCCAGAGCCTCTGGATTTAGAAAGCCTGAGAAGAGGCAGGAGCAGTTACTGCTTGGCTAGATTGAGGTTGACTTTGCAGAGTGGTAACTGGCTCACAATTTTCACATCATTTTAAGCAGAAATCACACGTTTGCTCAAGACTACAGGTATCCATGCTATATGGACGAGATGTGCACCTCTTCTTTAACATACCTGCCTTTATCCTGCAGCCTAACGTAGTGCTCATCGTTCCACACGTCATCCAAGCGGAAGCTGGTGAACTGGTCATGAATGTAGCTGGCAGTGCTCTCATCTTCCACCTTGCCAGCTTCAAAAGAATTCTTACCTTCTCTTTGCCTGTAGGTAACAGATATATGTATAGCTTAGGCTACGACACCAGGCTGCACTGCAGTCTGCAAAGCCATTTAAGCCTGAGTTTAAAACACACCACCTTACATAAGCTTATTCTCGAAATGAGCCCGAGTTCTGCTCACAGGCTGTGCCTCTCTCAAAGCTCCAGATAAACTTTCTGGAACCGTTACCTCAGGCTGGCCTCAAGATGTGCAGCTGACAGTTTAGATGACAACATGTTTCTTAATTCAGGCCAGTATAAGATACGTGGTCCAGGAACCTCTTCTTCCTCCATTCCATCATCTGAGAAGTAAGATGCAGTAGGAGTCATCTCGCAGTTGCCACTTCCATCCAGACACCTGTTAACCCTCTGTGTTCGTCCACGGTAACTCAAGTAGCCGATCAGAAACCCTGTGGACAGAACAGGTATTTCTTTGTGCTGCAGAAAGATGACTGAACCCCACCACACAGCTTCAGAGTTGAGATACATCTCTGCTCTCACCATTTTTGACTAGCTAGCTTACCCAAGGACAGACAAACATGCAGCCTGACATTTTGCCTGAGCTGGCATGTTTCAAGGGGCACTGTAAATCTGATCTTGCACTTGGCAGAGTCCCTCCAGCGCCACTTGGGAAGGAAAATGTTCACTTTAGGCCAATGGCATTGTTAAAAACCTTAAGAGACAAGTACCAAAGGCTTTACTCATCTGTTGACCTGTATCTCTAAAGAAGTGTTAGGAGTTAATGGAGGGAAAACAAAACTTTGACATGGACCAGTTTTCCCTTCAGCTAAGTCACAGTTCTCCACAATCAAACTCCACAATTCTTTGTGTCAGTGCTGTACCATAAGTCTGTTCTAAACATACTTAGTGACAAGAGGCTGTGGCCTGGATCCCAGTTGTTGAACTATCTCCGAAAACAATACAGACTGAAATTTAACAATCTCAGATTACATTCAATACCAGAGTCCACTTCATGCAGTTGCCTCCCACCCTTCCTTACCAATCAAAAGGAGGAGGACAGCTGCAATGATTACGAAGCAGAGGCTCTTGCCATTCCTCCGTGGAGGAGGCATGCTGGCATGCAGGTGCTCTGGCCTCCCAATTTCACCTCCTTCCTCCTCATCAGCAGCCAGGTTCATCTCCACGTGGCTGTTGTCTCCATCCGTCTGCCGGGCAATGCTGAAGCGTGTGTATGATGTTGGCTCGCCACTGAACTGTGTGCAAAGGCAGTCAAGAGATGGAAGAGTTGGCTACACCAGCCTGCAGTCCTTGCAGTCAGCTGCACCTGTGCTCCAACCCAAACACTGCTGGTCCATCTGCAGCTGCTCCAGTGCAGCGAGCGTTTGGGCTGACAGTAAAGTTAAGACTCAGACCCACTCAGGGTCTCCAGAGTCTATTTCAGACCTGCAGCTCCACTCTGACCCACACCACCCACAGTGAAGTGGCTGCCTGCTCATATTTCGGAAAGGGCAACACTGCAGTCAGTCCTAACATTCTCCCTGCTCAGCTGCTCCGCAGCTTGGCTCCCTCACACCTGAGGCATGTCCTCACACAGAGGACATGCCCCAACCCTACATATCTCCCATTCTTGTTCAGAGACCAAACCACCACACTCTCAGTTCTAGCCTTGGGTCATTTCACAATCCAAGCTCTCTAGGACCAGCAGGCTTGGCTGAACAAGTTCCTGCACATTTGTTTCAAGCACAGGTTGCTTTCAAAAGCTGGACTTGTGGTTGAATTCCCACCCCCCACGTAACAATAGAACACATGTTGATTGTCCCAGTAGGCATTTGAAGGGCTTCCTCAGCAGCACTTCCTTCTGCAATTTTATTCATGGCCCGCCCCCCCCTTCTTAACAGCCCTCAGAGACCCAAAACACGATAGCAGCTAACGATAAACCCACCAGCACTGAACTGCTTGAGCCACTTCCTTATCATGGCCAGCTACTTGCAGTGACATTTGGCTCACCATCCACACAGCAGCACCTAACGCTGCTTTGGATCCATCATCTTCTCCAATACTGATAAGTAGTGATATTTATTATGTTTATTGAATAAACATAGCTCACTACCCATCAAATATCTTTCATACAGTTCCACCAACACAGCCACCTGTTGCACAGGATAGCTATACGCAATTCTACAACTCACGTATATTCAAACAGATAACAAACTGCATGGAAAAATATAAAAATAATATTATACAATCTCATACACAGATGTTGCTGAACCTTTCTTCTACAGAATCATCAGCCCACCAAGAGACAAAGAGCATTGGGGTACCATGTCTTACCAAGTTAGAGATTGCTGCTCTGGCATGATCCATTGCCTTCTGGACAAATGCAAACCAACTTCACCAAAGCCTAGAAGTTCAGAATACAACAAGGTTAGGCTGTTCCCTTGCCACTACATTACACACCTGAGGTCAGTTACTGCCACTACTGCACTGCTTGCCCATGCATTTTCTGTGCATGCTTCCACCTAAGTCACTACATTAGTGAACCTGCATGAATGAACCTTGAATGTGACCTGAAGTTCCCATGGCAGTTATAAGCTCCAATCAGTTCTTTCTGTTGAACTTTGGGCATACTGACAGGCATACAAACGAGGAATAATACAGTCTCCAATGGCTAAGTTCAGCCTAGGGTCTTATTAATGGTGGGGACATCTCCATTTAGGGAGTGCTGGCAAGAGGCATTTACTCAACTGCCACCACGGACTCTAGATATCTAAGGTTCCTGGGCTCTGTCTCAATGACAGGAAGAGTCCAGCTGGAAGAGAGAAGTCGCACAAGGCCATAAGGCAAAGCAGCACAAACTCCAACCCCTGACAAAACACTTTTAATACAAACATCCCTCCTAGACAGCGATGTTCTCAAAAACTTTGTGAAGGCAATTTCTGTCTTGAAAAGTCTCTGAAAACTGCTATCTTTCCAAAATAATTTCAACAACTTTTAAGATTCTAAGTTCTCTGCAAACAGCAAACATATCTGAAAGGTAAACTGAAACTCATTTGCTTCTCCATTTCTTCCTGGAAAAGGTTTGTAATTTAATGAGTGACCAGACAGGTGTTGAGGTTGCGAGCAAGCAACCTGAGTATGCCCTCAAGCGCCGCTGCTAATAGGTGCTCTGGTCTTCAGGTGCACGTGGATCAGCTCCACACCCGGGAGCCCTGCAAGGTTTTATTTGGAGATCAAAGGTTAACAGTGGCCATTGCTTATTTCACCTTTTATTTAGGGCAAGAACACCTGGAAGTGAAACCCCGACAGATTCGAGAAGCCTTCCCCAAGTGACAGCCTGAGGCCGCAGGCTCCCACCGGGGCACGAGCGAACCGAGCATGTGGAGGGTCTGCTAAAAGGAAACCCGGCAAGACGCAGGGAAGCACAAAGGGCCTGCGGGCATCGCACCTGGTAGGGATGCCGACCCGAGCCCCTCCAGCCAGGCCCCGATCTTTCCGAAATACGCCAAAGAGAAGAAAAACAGAGAAAACCGAGAACGTCTGAGCAGCCACGCCGCGGGGCTGGGCGGCTCCGCTATGGCCACGAGGGCCCGGCTGCGGAGCGCCAGATAAGCGGCGCGGGCGATAGGCGGCCGGCCGCGGGCACGTCTGCCCCGTGCCGGGCCCGTCAAGGTCGCGGGCACTGCCGCATGCGGCGCGGCCCCGTGCGCCGCCAGGGCCCCGCGCCGCCGCCGCTCCCGCTCCCGCGCCGCCTCCCTCCGTCCTCGCCTCCCGCCCCGCTCCCCGGCCTTCCGCCGTGCCGCGGCCCCGCGCCCGCTCACCCGCAGCAGCTCCAGCGCCGCGCCGGGCTCCACTGCGGCGCCCGTGGTAGAGTTAAGGCGCGGCGGGATTGGCCCAGGCGCGGCCCAGCTCGGAACGCGTCTGTAGGGGCGGGACGGAGCTCCGCCTCCCCGCTGGCCTGAGCACGTTCCGGCTGCTGCGGCTGTTCGTGCTGCTCGTGGTGCTGCGGGTCCGTGTCCCGCCGCCCGCACAGCCCACCCAAGGGCTCGGCCGTGGGCCCTGCCTGGCCTTGCTGCGCAGAGTCATAGCGCAGAGCTCCAAGATCATCCAGTCCAACCATCAGCCCAGCATCACAACTGTAATCGCTAAACCGCGTGAGCCAGCACCTTTTAAGCACTCCAGGGGTCACGACTCCATCACCTCTATAGAAACCTATTCTAGTGCCTGAAACGGCGAAAAACAATTTTCTAATAATTCTTAACAATTTTCTAATACCTAATTTGAATCTTCCATCTCAGCTAAAGGCCATTTCCTCTAATCCTCTCACTGTAGGCATGGTCCCCTCCTCACTACAACCTACTTCCTTTATAAAGAATGAAGCAGCTCGCTTTATAAATTGCCTTTAGGTGCTCTTGGTACCTTAGTGGAGGAGCTAACTGGCATGTGTTTCGCTGCCTGTACACCAGTTGCAGCTGCTTCCCCACAGGAAGGGCTGGAAGTGGGGCAGGGAGATGAGGTTAACAGCTCTTCGTGGGAAGGCATGCTTGTACCACAGTAGAAGAAAGAGGGGGTCACAGATTCAGCATTCCCACCCTCTCAGCATTTTGAGGGATGAGGGCAGGAAAAATATTTTCCTCCCTGGGTGGTGCAAACAAGACACAGGACTTGCTCTGGCTTGGGAGGCTCTCAGCATCCTCAGGTCCCAGCAAGTCTCATGTGCTCAGGGCTACCTTTTTAGATCTGAATGGGCAGAGACACCCGAGGAGCCTTTCTTTTGTGTTGGGCTGCACAGATTGCTATTTTATTTGTACAAGGAGAAGCATGGCAGGTGTTTTGACTTCCAGCCCGTAAACACAAGTATGGACAGCCTGCGTCAGGACACAGGCTGTGGCCCACCATGAGAGAAGGTCACTGCTTCCAGCCTCAGTCCTTCAGCTCAGGGCATCCCTCAAAAGCATGTCACAGCTACAGAACGCTTCAAGGTTTGTGTGTGTGCATGTTCTGCAGTACTGTGCTCATTTGTCCCTTGCTCATTAGAAAAATAAATCAGTAGGCCCGGATTATTGCCTCAAATCCTTTCCCAAGAAAGAAGGATGGGAGCAGAAAGTTTGTAGTTTGGCAGAACACATGATTGCAAAGAGGATTACGTTTGGTGAAAAGCAATACATTCCTGTGCTGATAAAAGGGGGATTAACTAGACCTGAAATTCAGCGTGGACGTCTGGAGACAAGACTGTAAAGTGTCTCTCAGGCAAGAGGTGCTGGCGGACCTGCCAGTTCTGTTTACCAGAGGAGCTCTGAGCCAGGCTCTCTCTGCTCTAGATTCATCCCTCACCAGCTGCGATGATGCCAGTCATGGGAGGGAAAACCATTGTCACTCGGCGTGTGACTGACCCGTGGTACACGGTGCTGGCCGGTGCCTTGGTGGAAGCCCAAGAGGGCTCTGAAAGAGTTTAGATCAGTCGTGCAGGCTGGATGCTCCGATCATTTCTCACCACAGCAGCCTGGATGCAGCCTGCTGCTCAGGAAAGCATAACCCGGGGAAAACCCCGCAGCTCTGCCCTGTTTTTTATGCTCCTCCTGGGCTCCCCCCCCAAGCCCTCAGCTCCCTTTACCTGTGCACACCGTGCCAGGCGCAGGGCAGCGATTCCACTCCGAGGGACGCCTGCAGGGCGCTCAGGCTCCGGACGTTCCCTGCACAAGGCGGCAATGCGAGCCGGGAAGGCGGCAATGGGATTTGCGGCTGCCCGCGCTGCCGGCCCGCCGGGCCTCCCTTCCGGCGGCAGCAGGGCGGAGGTGCCGCCCGGCCCGGCCCGGCCCGGCCCGCCCTGCCCTGCCTGCGGGGCTTTGCCCTTCCCAATCGCAGCGCCCTGCGCTCGGTTCCCCATTTCTGCACGTGCCCGGAACAAGAGAAGAAAGCTGCTATTCTAGAAACGCAGATATTTTTTGCGCCTCAGCTGGCTTTGGCGGTAAAATACCTTAAAATGAGTGTTCTTCAAAAGCAGTGTTGTGTACCCCTGACTTCACCCTGCAAGTGACTGGGAGCTGGCTGGCTGTCGGTGCTTGGTGGCTGGTGCCACCTCTCTCAGGGACACCTGCTGTTGACACAGTGACACCTGTACTGCTGGCAGTACCGAGCCCAGATGCTCGGACTGCCCAGAACAACCAAAAAAATCTTTGCGAGGAACAGAGAGCAAAAACTGGGAAATAGATGAAGAGGAAAGAGGATGTAGGATTGGTTACTGCTGACTTCTGATCTGTCTTCCCAGCATCAGGGTGTTCCTCCTCATTGTGGTTTGGCAAACCAAACTATTTGGCTATTTTAGGAGATGTCCATGTGTCCTCTGAAATCCTGGGGGGTTTGTGAGTCCTCTGACTTGACTCAAATGACTCCACATGCTTTTGTACAGTATCTCATGATGTGCCAGCATCCTTCCTCTGGGATGCTGAGAACATGTGATCAAAATATGGTTTCACTTCAGTTTTGCAGCAGGATTTGGTGATCCTTGTTGGTCCCTTCTGTGAAAATCTGGTTTTCCAGCAGCTTATCACAAACAATGTTGTGAGGTGACTTGAACACTTCTATGGCAAGAAATACTGCAACTAACATGGCTCTTCAGTCTGGAAGGGATGGAAAAACCGAGAACCAAGTGCTGGAGTGTGGTGCTAGATTGGATCTGCTGTTGGGCTGAGGCCAAGGGCTGTGGGACATGCAGTGGTCTGTGGGGTGGGAGGTGGTTATAGGGCTCCCATTGGCTGTGCACTCCATGGAACAGGGGCTATGTGGCACTCCAGGCACCCCAGGGTGCAGGGCCAGAGAGGCAACAGGCACCTGGAGACAAAATAAAGGCTTTGATCTTCTGCCCTGAAAGGCAACTGCTTCCTCTGGATCCCAGCCACTCAGAGGAGTGGCAGTGCCAGCTCCAGCCTTCCTGGGTTTGAGGGGTACACTGTCTGTGCTCCCCTGTCACCTCATGGCTTGCACCTCATGGGTGCAGTCAGCTATTATAGGTCCCAGGAAGCTGAGAAATCTAGTTTTACTTTCAGTGTCAGAATCATACTGCAACCCCTCTACTACCCTAACCTTCCAGGTTAGGTCTGGCAGGCAGGGCTCCCAGGAGAGCCTGCCCTCTCTGCCTCTGTCCCACAAGCCAAGAGTGCAATAGCCAAGAATTTCATAACACCACGAGTATCCCCATCCTCCAGAAGACCACATATTTTGGCTTTTGCTGCTGCATTTCTCAATTGTGCTGGCAAAAAGTGGGTAAAGTAATTGGGTATGATCCTCTAGGAAAAGCCACATACTGCCTTGGAGAATGTCATTCCATCCTGCTCTCTCCCAGCAATCCAGGCACCCACAGCCATGGTTGGGAACTGTTGTTCCTTGGCCACAGCCCTGACACATGCTGCCATGCAGGCTGAGGAAGGAGAGGGACTGTGACAGGCACTGGCATGTGGGAGAGGATCTGCTGCCTCTTCTTGTCCTGTAGCAAAGAGGCTGTGGAGGAGGTGAAGGAAAAGGCACTTGGGAGAATGAAAACACAGTGGGTAAAGCTACAGCTGGCCACAGCATTATTGTCCCTTCAAAAGAGCACTCGTCTTTGCATCCTTCCTGGGGAAGCACCTGGGGCTGGCCTGGCTCTCCTTATCTTCCACAGCTGGCCTGGAGAGGAGACAGAGCACCAGGCACCTGGAGGAGAGATGTGGGGCTGAGGACAGTGTGGCTCCTATAAAGATGCTGACCTGGGGTATCCCATGGACCACCCCCTCAAAATCCTCTGGGATTTTTTTTTTTTTTGCCTTCCTGCAATGTGGAGGCTCATCTCCCCATCTCTCCTGTCACACAAGGAGGGATGTGGATGCAGTGATGCTCATTACTGCTGCTCTGCTTGCCAGGGGCTGGCATGGAGGCCCAGCAGAGAGGCTCATGCTTGGACACTGCCCCAGTGGGACTAAAACAGTCTGGCTCTTTTGGCGGGGCTTCCTTGCTTGCAAAGACTGGGTTTCACTGGGATTTTAACCACCAAGTCATGGACTCTGTGATCCTTGCACCACCCCACCTTACCTACAGGGAGGAGGATGCACTGTAATCCGGCTCTATGCCTGCCCAGAGGGCACGGAGAGATGAGCGATGATCAAAGAGCTTCAGCACCTTTAGTGTTGCTTGCTGCCTGGCAGTTACCTCTGCTGGCAAGCTCTGGCCCTCCCCAAGGGCAGAGAGGGGGAGAGCAGCAGTGCCAGGACATCCCTGGGCGTGCGGGGCACTGATACCGCTGCTGCCGACTGCAGAGTGCCCGGCTGCAGCCAAGGCTGTTGTTGACCCGGATCCTTCGCCCCTGTGGGGTCAGCCTGGCAGAGCCCTCGCTATCTTGGCAGCTGCAGCTCGGCCGGGCCGTGTGTCCCTGCTCCGATAGCAGCTCTGCCCCGTGAGCCCGCCTGCCTT